TTCGAATAAAGGCCATTTAGTTATCTCTGGAATGATGTAAAAACGAGCGTTCTTGCTCATTTTGCTTCCGAGAAACATGTAAAACGGGACGGAAACCATCAAATTTTGCAATAATCTTGCTCCACCCTTGCAGAAAACGACGATCATTTTTCTAATTTCATAAACATCAGAAGACTGTATTTTTTCTACATAACTCCCCCCCCTGACTTTAAAGCTGGATCCGCCCCGGCACAGTGTCAAGTCTGGACGCCCCCTGGTGGTTACACTTACAACTACAAGTCAAGTAGTAATTTGACACTTGTTTAGTTGACATTGGTGTTTACATCTCGACAACTAGTCTGACACATGACGCTAAAAGGAATATTCCTTGTATCATGAGTGCGACAAGTCTCAACTGTCACTCGACAACGAGTAATTTGACACTAACGATGCGACTCTGTCACCTTCGAGTGTTCAAACAATGACAGTCGGTGTCACCGTGTGAAGGCGCTTTAAGTGCTGCTTTTGACCTTTGAATGTTTGCAGGATCGATGCACCAGCCGCCCTACTCCCCTAACGCGAGCTACGCAATGAACACGCCCCACCCCTACGCGAACTACCCGGCAACGTCGTGCAACTACCCGCGGCAGTTGCAGATGGGCGCCGACTCGCGCTACCCCCAAATGGGGCGGAGCCTGTCGCCTGGGAGGCGGGGCTACGCGGACGCGATGCCCATGCACCTGAACTACCACGGAATGCACCCCAAAATGCAGGCGGGCCCCAACTACGCGCAGTACCGGGGGCCGGAGTACGCGCAGCACTACCAGCACCGACGGGGCCCGCCGCAGGAGTGCTACCCGCCATCCTGCCGCCCCGCCCAGTACTTGCAGAACCCCCACCAGACCGCAGGTACGTCGCTTTTGCGCCCCGTTTGAACTGGCCTCAGTGCGATTATGCGTGCAGGCCAGGACCTGCAGGATATGGCAGGCAACACCGCCTCCCCCTCGGACAGCCTGAAGAAGTTCATCGAGAGCTGGATAGTGGAGGAGGAGCCGGCGGGCGAAGCCAGCCAGTTGGACGCCAACATGAACATCAGGGAGAAGCTGCGCGACGACGCCCCTGCAGGCACCGTGTACATGATCAACGCCAACGACGTGCACTACTTCGAGAACAACGGCATCCCCATCGTCACCTCCGACAGTGGGGGCTTCCAACTGGTAAGCTCACTCCCACCTCAACCCCACGCGCCCCCACTCACCCCGCCTTGCCTG